TATTTTTTTTCCAATACTGGAGATTGAACTCAAGACCTCACACATACTAGGCAAACACTGTAACAATTAGCTATATTCCAAGCCCCCCCCCCTTTTTGATTTTTGAGTCAGAGTCTTACTATGTAGCCCTACCTATCCTGGAACTCACTGTTTATAGCCTAGGCTGGCCTGGAACTCTTAGCAATCCTCCTGCCTCAGCCTCCTAAGTGCTGGGATTACAGGTGTGTGCCACCACACCAAGCTAGATAAACCTTTTCTGACTTGAGCCCATTTGGAGGGTTCTAACACATCTGGCATGACTTAGTGAGTCTCCTGCATGCAGTATTCACGAACACACGTGTTCACAGATGATCACCAGGCAATGGCCAGTGTGCACATGAACACATGTGTCTCCAGACACCCACAAAGGCACATGCCCCCTCGTGCTCTATGGCCACTATGCAGAAACTGACCCTTGCCCCAACCCTCCAGCTCTCTACAGCATGTTTTTCCTGATCAACACTTGCTGCCTGCCCAGCTTCCTCCCAGCAGAGCTGTGGCTGGGCTACTTACCAGCCTGACTAGCTGTTTGGATGTGTGTACACCAGATGTGGAGGGGCCAGCTAGGCCTGGAGTGGGACATAGAACCATGTCCCTGTGGCTGACTGAACCATTCTTCCAAATGGACCTTTCCAGGGTCTCCCTAACATATTATATGACTACAGCCAGAATCTAAGGTGGGCAGAGTTTGGAGTTTTGAGGAAGCCCCCAGTCTACAAAACAAAACAAAAAACAACGCACTTCCCGAAGCCCCGGTCCTCTGGGTTAGCTCTCTGTTGTCACCTTAAAACCAAGCCTGGCTCTGCATTCCCATCCTCTCACCCTCACCAGCCTCCTCAGTGGCACAGACAGGAAGGGACAGGCTGCTCCCAGGATGTCTCGTTGCGACACTGGACAAGGAAGGAGGCAAAGGGGAGAGTCTTCCAGGGATACTTCAGCTCAAGGAGCCATGAACTTGGGAAGCAATCCCATAGGACCCAGACCCCCTTTGCTATAAGCATCAGTCCAACACAGAGCCTAGCCTGACTCTAAATTTCAACTTTCCTGCCAGAAGGAAGGGGGAAAGGAAATTAAATAGCAATAACTACAACAGCCAAAGCAGAGGAGATGATCAAACAGGAAAGGGGGAACCCAGGGGAACCAGGGTGCTGGCCGGGTGGGTGGTGGTAGTGGATGCGCTTTACCCTGTTATCCGCTAATTCTCTGAGCAGCCGCTCGGCCTGCGCTTTCTCCTGTAGCAGGCTCTGTTCCAGCTCACCAATGCGCGCGTGCTCCAGCTGGGTCTGGGTCTGCTCCACCCAGGGGGGAAGGGATGACAGGGTGGACAAGGGAGATGGGGACGTGGGGAAGGGCACAGGGAAAAGGAAGCCGGAGAAAGAAAGAGAGGGGAAGAGAGAGAGAGAGAGAGAGAGAGAGAGAGAGAGAGAGAGAGGAGGCGTCATCTTCAGTGAACAAGACCATGAGAACAGATCAATGAGCTGGAATCGCTTGGTGAAGAAAAAGGTCTCAGAAGTGCGGTGCATGGGGGGCTGGATGCCCTCCCCTCTTTGTAGCCTGGCTGGGGTGTGTTTTAGGCAGAGAAGACAGTGGTTAGCATCCCTCACTAGCCACTGGTAGTGCAGTGTTACTGAGTACCCTGGTTTCCTCCCATTACCCCCGAGCCCACCTTTTTTTTTTTTTTTTTGGTCTTTTTGAGACAAGGTTTCCCTGTAGCCCCAGCTGGCCTGGAACTCACTATGTAGACCATGCTGGCCTCAAACTCACAGAGATCTGCCTGTGCCTGCCTCTGCCTCTGCCACAATAAAGGCATGCATCACCACGTCCAGCATCATCTTGACTTTTTGTTTCCTTTAGTTTTTTCTAGACAAGGGCTCACCATGTAGCCAAGGTTAGCCTGGAACTGTGTTCCTGGGTCTGACCTAGAACTTTAGTTGTTTTTGAGACGGGATCTCATATAGCCCAGGTTCTCCTGGAACTCACTATGTAGTTGAAGATGACCTTGAATTTCTGATCCTTCTGCCTCTACCTCCCATATGCTAGGATTTCACTATGCCTGACTTAGCCTAGACCTCTATGAAATCAAAGCTGGCCTTGAACCTGCATTCTTCCTGCCTCAGCCTCCCTAGAGTTGGGAAGACAAATGTGTACCAGCATGCCTGGCTAACCCACACTATCTTGATTCTCTTGGCCTGGCCTCTCAAGTAGGGATGCCCTGCCTGAAGCCTGACTCGGTCACCATTGCACTCTTTCCCTGTCCTGTGGAGAATGCCTGGCTTCTACAAGCACAAGAGGGCTTTTGTCCCCTCTTTACAACACCCACTTCATTCTCGAACAAAGCACAACATTCTCTGGGTGGTACAGGACTGACATTTGGATGCCTTATGATGGATCTTAGCAAGTTAGCAGGGAGGAGGGGAGGCAATGCACCCTGGGGGCACCACCAGGATACCAGATTTGTTTTGAGAGACTGGAGAGGGTACCGATCACCCTGTGGGAGATATGGTTAAAGCAACACTCCCTGCCCAGCCTCATGTCAGAAGGGGTGGGGCTTGGACAACAGGCTAACACTCAGAAGTCAGGAAGAAGTGGCCAGTTATGGAGGCTGGAGGATAGGAATGGGACTGGAAGCCCAGCCCAAAGGGATCAAGTGATCAGTTGAGGGTGAGGTTCAGGTTATCAATCTTGACTTTGTGTGCTATGCACATGTGGGTGCTTGTACACTGGGAGTTTTAGTTGGTCTCCACCTTAGTTTTCGACACAGGGTCTCTCCCTAAACATGGAGCTCACAGATTTGACTATACTGGCTGGGCAACCTCCAAGGATCATTCTGTCTCTGTCTCCTCAGCACTGGTAGACTGCTGCCATGCTCATCTTTTATGTGAGTGCTAGGGATCCAAACTCAGCTACTCTACCACAGTCCACGCCACACTCCCAGCCCCTCACTGGGGGGATCTAGGCAGGCACTCTACCACTGAGCCACACCCTTATCCCTTGGTTTAAGACTTAAAAAATTTTTTTTGGTCTTTTTTTGAGACAGGGTCTCCCTGTAGCCCCCGCTGGCCTGGAACTCACTATGTAGACCAGTCTGGCCTTGAACTCACAGAGATCCACCTGCCTCTGCCTCCCGGGTGCTGGGATTAAAGGCATGTGCCACGACGCCCAACTTAAAGTATTTTTTAAAGATTTATTTTTATTTGTGTGTCTTTGTGTGTCTATGTGTAGGTATGTGCACATATGTGCGGTGCCCATGGAGGACAGAAGCTAGGGATACATGAGGTTGTGAGCTACCTGGCATTGGTGCAGGGAACTGAACTTGGATCCTCTGAAGAACAGCAAGTGCTCTTAACCTCTGAGTCATAGCTCCAGACCCTTGATTTTGAATTTTGAGATGGGCAGGGAGAACCAAGCACCATGGCTCCAAGTCTGTAATCCTAGCCCTTGGAGGCTGAGGAAGGAGGACTGTGAGTTCCAGGTCAATGTGGGCTGTCTCAAAAAAACACAACCCAAAGCAAACATGCATGGTGGTAAACTGGACCTTGCCTTGGCTCACCTCCCAGTTGCTATGGATATGAACAACAGTACAGAATGCAGGATAAAATGTCAAAAATGGATGTGACACCCCTTCCGGCTGAACTAGCTGTCTGTCACTGTCTGTCCCCCCAGGCCCCCTGCCGCCTCTCTCAGCTATGCCCAATTGGATCTGGAGTAGATGCCTGATCCAATACCTGCCAGCTCATCGGCTGGCCTGGGACTAGTCGGGTTGTCTCCTGGGGATAAATGTAAGTGATGGGTGGTGGTGCCTGGCAGACTGGAGCCGAAAGCAGATGTACTCAAGAGGCCTGGAGACAGACAGGAGTCAGTGAGAGGCTGTGAGCAGGGCCCAGCTCCTCACACCCATCCTCCTCACACCCATCCTGATTCTAGTTCCCTCAGGCGCCTCATGAGGGGTAGGGAATTTCCCCAGTCATTCATCTCCTAAGCCTCTGTTGATGGGAGCAGGTGGAGGGGTCTTGGTTTGGCAACCCCAGGCACTCTCTCTTCAAGTCCACCCATCTGTCCCCTGCATGGGGAATGCTGTCTGCCAGAATGATCAGCCAGATACAACCACCTGTCCTGTCTCTTTGGCTGTGACAAAGGCATAAATCACAACAGCTTTGGGCTGGCGAGGGCTCCTGCCTTTTCTTTTTTCTGACCCAGGGTCTTATCTTAGGCTGGCCTCAAACTCACTGTGTAGCTGAGGCTGGCTCTGAATGCCTAATCCTCTTGCTTCTGACTCCTGAAGTCTGTGATTACAGGTGAGCCCTACCATGCCCAGATTTCTTGTTTGTTTGCTTGTTTGTTTCAGACAAGGCCTCCAGCTATAGCCCCAGATGGCCTGGAATGCACTATGTAGACCAGGCTGGCCTTGAACTCAGAGATCTCCCTGCCTTTGCCTCCCTAGTGCTGGGATCAAAGGCATCTACCACCATGTCCAGCCTGACCTTGAACTTCTAATTCTCTTGCCTCTACCTACTTGGTGCTAGGATTACAGGCATGTGCTACCCATACCCAGCTTATTCAGTGTCGTGAATCAAACCTAGGGCTTCATATACGCTAGACAAGCACTCTAACAACTGAGCCTTTCTTTAGCTTTTTGAGACAGTCTCGCTAAGAAGGCAGGCTGACCTGGACTTCGTACACAGCCCAGACTGGCCTTGAACTTACAACCTTCCTACTTTAGCCTCCCTAGTAAACTGAGATTACAGGCCTGGGGTACCAAGTCTGAGCTGAGCCCAGAAATAATCAATGGCTGTGATTTCTTTTACTTTTTAAAATTTTCTTTTACTTACTTATTTTATTTTATTATTTTTATTTTATGTGTATGAATGTTTTGCCTGCATATATTTAAGTGTACCTGTGTCGTGCAATGCCTGAGGAGGTCAGAAGAAGGTATCAGATTCTCTGGGAACTGGCATTATGGACAGTTGTTAGCTGGTATGTGGATGCTAGGAATTGAACCCAGGTCCTCTGCAAGAGCAACCAGTGCTTTTAACTGCTAGGCCATCTCTCCAGTCATTATTTATTTATTTATTTATTTATTTATTATTTATTTATTTATTTATTGACAGGGTCTCACTATGCAGATCTGGCTGGTCTGGGACTTGCACCATGCCTGGCTCAATTTATTTTACTTTTATTTATTTATATTTTATATGTATCAGTGTTTTGCCTGCATAAATGTAAGCGTACCCATGATGCTCAATGCCCTTGAAGGCCAGAAGAGAGCACTGGATCCCCTGGAGTTACAGATGGTTGTTAGTCACCATGTGGGTGCTCGAAACTGAACCTGGGTTCTATATAAGAGCAGCCAGTGGTCTTAACTGCTGAGCCATCACTCCAGCTCCCTGATTTATTTATTTTTATTATTTTATGTGTATGAATATTTTGTGTGTATGTATCTAAGTGCACTCATTTTGTACAGTGCCTACAGAGGCCTGAAGAGGGAGTCAGATCCCCTAGAATTAGAGTTATGAATGATTGTAACTGCCATGGGGATGCTGGGAACAAAACCTGGGTTCTCTACAAGAGCAGCCAGTGCTCTTAACCACTGAGCCGTCTCTGCAGCCCTATGGCTGTGATTTCTAAAGTCCTTAGACTGTATCACCTGGGGCTGTCGTAAATGCAGGTCACGGCCCTATGTATGAACAAGCTTTCCGGGGATGGAATGCTTGAGACTGAGAACCCACAATGGGGATCAAACACCTCATTTTACAGATGAGGAAACTGAGGCCTGTAGAACAGAACAGGCTTCCAGAGGCCAGGTGAAGTCCAGAAATGCTGTATGAGAAGAGGCTTAACTCACTGTCCCCTATTCCACCTGATGGTTCCAGGAGTTCTAATTTCCTCTCCTAGGGGACCTCAAGGAACATAACAGGGAAGGCACTCCTACCCAAAAGTGGCCTCCTGAGCCCAGAGGTCTCTCCAGACCTTGGGGACAGGGCTAGATGCCCCCTAAACGGCCCTGAGCACCCCAGTCCCTAACTCAGCAGAGTGGATTAAATGGAGAGGGACAATCTCAAGCTGTTCATACCATGCGTGCCCATGGAAAAATGGACAAAGTGCAGGCTGGGTCAACTCACAGGAGTCCCTGTCCCTGGAGCCTTGGATATAGGCCTCTGCTTTCCTGACCTCTAGTTCTTGTTTGTTTTTCTCTTCTTCTTCTTCACATAGCCCAAGGTAGCCTTAAACTCACTACACAGCTGCGGATGACCATGAACTCCTGATCCTCCTGTCTCAGCTTCCTAAGTGCTATGATCACAGGCATGTGCCACCACACTGATTTATGTGCTGGGAATCGAACCCAGGACTTTGTGAGTGCTAGGTAATCACTCTATAATTTCAGCCACATCCCCAGCCTTGAGCCCTTGTTCTGCCACCTGTCAACTCTCTGAGTCCAAGTGCTCCTGCCAGCCAATTCTGTTCCTAGGATCACAGGAGGCTGGCTCCTATGCCCTTAGGTAAGATGTGCAATGTCACTCACCTCAGTCTATCCTGTTCCCCACCTCTAATCTCCAACACAAGGTCCCCTGGATTCCCAGGAGCTAGAGTTATTCCCACCTCTTACACCAGATGTCCCAGTGCCCTCCCATCCTCCATTCCTCCAAGGAGGGAGCCTTTGACTCGTCTCCATTTTCCCCTTGCAGTCATCACCAAGGTCTCATCCCAAAGAGGCCTAGGCTTTTTGCCTGAACATCAAAGCCATTTCTCATGCCAAAGATTGGGCCCTTGGTGATCGAGCAGGGAGGGGCTGTACCCGTTACCTCCAAGTCTCCTTTGGTGATGGATTCTTCCTCCACTCGGAACTGCAGGTCCTCCACCTTCCTGTGGGGAGGAAAAGATCAGAGATGGGCTTTGGTGGCCAGGGGCATGGCTCAATTGTAGAAAGCCCACTTAAGAGTCCCCCAGTGAGGGGCTGGAGCACAGCTCAGTAGTAGAGCACCTGCCTAGAATCTCCCAGTGGGGTTGGGAGCATGGCTCAGTGGTAGAGCACCTGCCTATCATATGCCAAGGTTCCATCCACACTGACACACACACAGACACACACACAGACACACACACAGACACAGACACACACAGACACAGACACACACACACACACACACACACAGAGTCAAATGGGTTTCATCAGGCCACCAATGGAAGAGAGGACTAACGCCTCAAGAAAGCTCAGGGAAGAAACTCAAAGCACTGAGGAGACTGTCTCCATAGAGCTGGAAGCTACCTGGTATCCTGAGGCTGAGGAAGGACAAAGCCTTCTGGAAGCATCCAGAACCCCCACCTTCTGACCTGGTACTGAGCATAAGCCTCCTTCCTCCCAGGGTGGCCATGGAAAAGAGAGGAGAGTAGCTCGAGCCAGGTGTGATGGTGCACAGCTATAATCATAGCATGTGAGATGCCGAGACAGGAGGGCTGGGAGTCAGAAGGCCAGCCTGGGCTACATAGGGACTGTCTCAAAAAACCCAAACCAAATCAGAACAGTGGCTCTTCAGTGGGTGCCCCAGGCCACATGGCCCTATCACCAAGGAGGAAGCAGGAAGGAGGGCTTTCTTATAGGTAACTCCACTCTGAGGGGCCTCAAAGTGAGAGCTGAGGTCTCAGCATGCATTTCCAGGCTGCTCACAGATATAGAAGGGTCCCAAGATCCCACTTCAAGAATTAGGGGCCTCTCTCAGGGACACATGCTCACCCCCACATATATCAAGTCAGAATAGGAGACATACACGGGTCTACCTCACTCTGCAATTTACAAAGCCTCTCCCCTGGGGCTCTCAGACACTGTGTATTAAACCTATGAGGTCACTGAAGCTCAGAGGGGGTGAGAGGCCTGTCCAAGGTTACACAGCATGCTGGGACCTGCATCTCAGCTCTTAGTAAACACAGCTCCCATCATGCCTTATTTTGCATTTAAAAAGTATTATATATGCGTATGTGAGCATGCGTGTGGAGGCCATGGGGTGATGCTGGGTGTCCTGTGTATGTGCACATATGTGTGCAGGTGCATACCTGTGCATATGCCTGGAGGCCAGGAGAGGACTCAGATGTCTTAGTCTAATGGAGATCCTGTCTCTGCCCTCCCTTCCCTACAGCCCCAGGATTAGGGTGAATGCAGTCACACCCAACTTTTTACATAAGGCAGTGGGAATTTGAACTCAGGTCCTCATGAATGTACTAAAAATGTTCTAGCCACTGAGCCATGTCCCCAGACCTATATGGGGATGTCTTCCTCTACTGCTACCCATCTTATCTTTAATTAATTAATTAACTTCTGTTTTTGTTTTTTTTTTTTTGCAATGGGGTCTCCTTGAACCCCAACTGGCCTGGAACTTGATATGTAGACCAAATTGGCTTCCATCTCTCAGAGATCCATCTTCCTCTGCCTCCAGAGTGCTGGGATTAAAGGCATGTGTCACCATACCTGGCTATTAACTTATTTTTATTTCATATGTGTGAGTGTTTGCTTGCACATATGTAAGTACCAGAAGAGGGCATTTGAGCCTTTAGAACTGAGTTACAGATAGTTGTTAGCCTCTCTGTGAGTGCTGGGAATTGAATCTGGATTCTCTCCAAGAGCAGCCAGTGCTCTCAAGTACTGAGTCATCTCTCCAGCCCCTCCTCCCTGACTTATCTTTTGAGACAGGGTCTTTCACTGAACCTACTGATCAGCTAGCCTGGCTGGCCAGTGAGCACTGGGGATCTGCCAGTCTGTACCCCACCTGTGAGAGGGTTACAGACACATGTGACCATGCCTGGCTTATTGACACTGGTGCTAGGGATCTGAACTCAGGTCCTCAGGCTTGCACAGCAGAAGCTTTACCGACTGAACCATCGTGTCTCCAGCCCCCATCTCATGATGGCCTAAGAGATTGTTTGCTGGCATGAGATGCATTGCCATGGAAACCAGATGTGTAGGCCCAGACTGCCATCTCAGGCAGTTATAAATAAATCATCATCTCTCCCACTTAGACAGTAACTGCAGGCCTCGGCTGAATGCCCAAAACACAGATGCAAGTGGGGGTTGTTAAGGCTGGGGGCTGCCACCAGCATGGGGGAAGGGAGGGCCATACAGAAATCTCAATTCCCAGGAGAGAGATGACAAGACTGGCTCTGTCCCACGTCCTGGGCCTCTGGCCAGAGAATAGAACACACCTGAATCTTTCTATGAGTCCCTGTGTTCTCATCAGAATCCACTTGACCTTGACTTGTCCAGGGGCTTTTCTGGGGGGAATCAGAGGATGGGGAGGCTTCTAACATATCCCCAGAGCAGCCTCCAAATTGACTGAGGGACCTGCGAGATGTCTTAGTGGTAAAGGTGCTTGCTGCCAATCTCGATAAGCTGAGTTCAATCCCTGGGACCCACATGGTGGAGAGAATAAACTTTTGTTTTGTGTTTTGTTTTGTTTGAGACAGGGTCTCCCTGTAGCCCCAGCAGGCCTGGAACTCACTATGTATACCAGGCTGGCCTCAATCTCACAAGGATCTGCCTGCCTCTGCCTCCTGAGTGCTTGGATTAAAGGTGTGTGCCACCAAGCCTGGTTGCTTATTTTTTATTTTAAGACCATTGTAATAAGTTGCCCAGGCTAGTCTGGATCTCCTGATCCCCCTGCCTCAGTCTCCCAAGTACCCCACCACACCCAGCTTCCCCACCCTCCTCTTCTGGGCTCAATGAAGATGCTCTCTGGCTGGGCCCCAGCATGTACCTCCTTTCCTCCTCCAGCTGGTTGGACAGGTCCACTTTCTCTTTCCTCACATTCTCCACCAGCAATCGTGCCCGCTGCAGCTTCTCCTCTGCTTCTGCAACATACTGACCCAGAGCAAGGCCAGGACAGAGCCAGGTTAATGCCAGCCTCCTCTTGGGGTGACACAGAAATAGGAAGTACAGTACAGAAGCCCCAGCTTCCTGCTCCTCCACTGGACCCAGTGAGGTATAGGTAGCAGCCAAGATACAAGGAGAGGGGACCCAGCAGGACCTAAGGAAGAAGAGGCCACACCCAGGGGACCATAAGCCTGCTCGGTCCCCAAGAGTAGACACCCCAAACCCTGCTATTCACCCAATCTACTATGGCCAAAGACCTGTTGTCTTGTTAGGGCCCCTCTCACAGTACCAGTATGAGGCTGGCTTTATGATAGATGTGTGTGTGTGTGTGTGTGTGTATTTATGTGTGGGATCAAACCCACAGCCGTGTGCATACTAGGTAAGAGCTCTACCACTGAGCCACACCCCAGCCCCTCCTCCTCACTGGGGATTCTAGGCAAGCTCTCCACTGCTGAACTTCATCCTGCTGTGATCATACTAATCCTGGCACTCAGGGAGGGATGGGACAGTCCCAAACATGAACAGAGGCCCAAAAGGGACGCTCACACAAGAGACATTAAGCCACGTGTAATCTCATCACTTGGGGAGGCTGAGGCAGGAGGAGTTTCAGGCTCACCTGAGCTACACAGAGACTCTGTTTCAAGAAAGAAAAAACAAATGGCTCCACTGTAGCACACACGTGTAGCATGCACAGAGCCCTAGGCTGGATTCCCAGTACTGTGAAAATACATACCTACAAACATCAGAGGAAATGACAGAACAAATTAAGTCATAGAAGCAGCAAACTCTAGACGTGGGGCATGGGGTCCTAGCTCTGAAATCTAACTCACAAATCTGCCCCAAATCATTTGAAATATGGACATATGCCAGAAAAGTTAGGAATCTGGACATATCTTTTTTTTCCCAGTGCTGGGAATCAAGCCCAGGACCTTATACACACAAGGTGGGTGATCTACCCCTGAGCTACATATGAATCTCTGTTTCATTTATTGTAGAAAAAAAAAGAAAAATGGGTGGCAAGATGGCTCAGTGGGTACGGGCACCAAGTCTGATAACCTAAGTTCGAACCCCAGGAGCTACATGGTTGAAGGACAGAATTGACTCAAAAGTTGTCCTCTGACCTCTACACACGTGCCATGACACACATTCTTCCCCCACAAAACAAATAAATAAAAATGGAATAAAAATATTTTAGAAAAAGAGCCAGATGTGGTGACACATGCCTTTAATCTTAGTACTTAGGAGGCAGAGCAAGGCAGATCTCTGTGAGATCAAGGCCAGCCTGGACTACATAGAGTTCCAAGCCAACCAGAACTACAGAGTAAGACCCTGCCTCAAAAAAAGAGAAAAATGCTGGGCATGGCGGTGCACGCCTTTAATCCCAGCACTTGGGAGGCAGAGGCAGAGGGTTCTTTGTGAGTTCAAGACCACCCTGGTCTACAAAGTGAGTTTCCAGGCTAGCTAGGGTTATAGGGAGACCCTGCCTCAAAAAGACCAAAACAAAAAACAAAAACAAAAAGAAAAGACAAAGAAAAATCCAGCCAGGTCTGGTAGCATACATCTAAAACCCTAGTACTTGGAGGCTGAGGCAGGGAAATAGCCAATTTTTTTTTTTTGGATCTTTTTGAGATGGGGTTCTCCCTGTAGCCCCAGCTGGCCTGGAACTCGCTATGTACACCAGTCTGGCCTCCATCTCAGAGATCCACCTGCCTCTGCCTCCCAAGTGCTGGGATTAAAGGCATGTGCCATCATACCTGGCTTTGCCAAACTTTTAAGGCCATCTTGGGCATCAAGGTAAGTTCTAGGCAAGTCTGAGCTACAGAGACCCTATCCTCCAAAAACCAAACACCAAAATAAAACAAAATTTCCCCTGAACTATGGGGCTGGAGATTGTCTAGCATGCACAAAGCTCTGAGTTCCAGTCCCAGCACCACATAAACCAGATGTGGTGGTACACACCTGCAATACCAGGACTCAGGAGGTGGGGGGCAGGAGGGTCAGAAGTTCAAGGTCCTCCTCAGCCTCATATGGAGTTCAAGGCCAGTCTTGGCTACGAGAGACCCTGTCTAAAAAACAACAGGGGCCGGAGAGATTGCTCAGCGGTTAAGAACACTGGCTGTTCTTGCAGAGGACCTAGGTTCAGTTCCCAGCACCTACATGGTAGCTAACAACTGTCTGTAACTCCATTTCCAGGGGCTTTGTCATGTTCTTCTGACCTTTGCTGGCATTGCATGCATGTGTTGCACTTACACACATGCACAGAAAACAGTCATACACATATAAGAATTTTCTGCTGACAGAAAATGCTGGCATTAGCATAGAAAAAGCAGAAAGCACAAGTTTAAAAGTGAATTCTGCACCTGATCTTGGCCAAAGGTCTGAGAAATGATTATAGGCCAGCCTGAAGGGCCCAGCACTTCACACACACACCGAAAAGTCTGGAAGCTTATGGGTCACTGCTAGCTGCATCTGAAAAGGGATACTCACAGACACTTCTGTATTTCTCTGAATACCCATGCTTACCCCTCCCTCTGAGCACCTGTGGCTTCTCTATCCCCATGGAAGGAGGTTTTCAGTACCCACACCCCTAAGGCCTCTAGCCCCACACCTGCTCGTGCTGGGCCTTCAGCAGCGCAATCTCTTTCTCCACCTCGCAGATGTGGCTGGTGGCCTTGGCTACCTCAGCCCGTTCCAGGTCCCTCTCAGCCAGCAGCTGTTCAATGTGTTGCTGTTTCTCCTTCAGTGCCTCCTGCAGGGCTGTGGTGCCTGAGATCTTCCGGGCATAGCGAGAAGATGTCTCTGTGAGCTGCAAAGAGTGGGTGGGATTCAGGTATCCTTGGAGTTGTGGGTCAGTGGCTCCCACTGGCCTCACTTATACTGACACAGGGGGTGAGGGTCTTGTCCTTCCCTGTCAGTGCCCTGGAGTCCCCTAAACTCACCTCATGACTCACCCCACCCTCAAAAGATCCTGATGGCTGAATATCAGCCCCTCAAAATGCAAGCCCCAAGGATTCCATCCACTATGGGCAACTTCACCTTGACCAGCTCCACCCTAAGCCAAGCCAGATTGAAGCCCCTCTGCCCAAACCTGAGTGGTCTCTTCTCTCCTTACTCAGGGTCCCTAAGACAGCCTTCTGAAATTCCCTGTGCTGTATCTACCCAAACCTGCTTACCCAGAGAAGGCTACTGAAAATCCAGTGGCAAAAGTAACAATAAATATAACTGGATCAATTTCTCTTATTAAGAAATCATGGGGGCTAGAGAGATGGCTCTGTGGTTAAGAGAACTGGCTGCTCTTCCAGAGAACCCAGACTCAGTTCCCAGCACCCATATGGTTGCTCACAACCACCTGCATGTATGTGCTGCACATACACACACACACACACACACACACACACACACACACTCAGGCATACACATATACATAAAATAAATTTTTAAAAAATTAAAAAAAAATCTATGCTTTCATTTTTGTTACAAACCCCCAAGTAGAAGGAGAGGTGCCTGGAATCAGAGCAAGCTGGGAACCGAGTGAGACACCTGCTACCTCTAATCTTATACCAGAGTTCTCCAACTCCCCAATTCTACCCTTACCAGGCCACTACGGCTGGGCCGGCCCCCAACCGAGGAGGCCACAGAGCTGACAGAGCTGATGGAGGAACTGCTGGGGCTGTGGGTCAGGGCTGAGACACCCATGGCCATACGCTTGTTCTTCTTGGCCTTGGCTGGGCTAGTGGATGGGAAGCCAATGCGGATGACCTTGTGGATTGGTGCGAAGAGACCAAACTTGGGTGGGCACTGGAAGTACCTGGGGAGCAAAATACAGCCACAGTGGTGCCTTGATGACCTGGTTCGCTCCTTATTTATTCCCCCGTCACTTCAAAGCCCCCAAGACACAGAAGCATCTCCCCAGGCTCTGTGGCCACACTCCAAGGTGGCAGTCTTCCTGATGGATGAGGCAGGAGCCATGGTGCACATTTGCAATTCTAGCACTTGTGAGGTAGAGGCAAGAGGAACAGGAACATGGGACTCCTGAGAGCTTACAGCTGTCAATAGCTCTGGCAGCACTGTTTTGTTACAGCACTGTTAGCTGTCTTCTGTTTGTTTTGACACAGGGTCTCATGTAGCTCAGGCTGGTCTTAAACTTGCTATGTAGCTGAGGATGACCTTGAACTTCTGATCCTTCAGCTGCTACCTCCTGAGTGCTGAGATTATAGATGTGTATGACCACACATGGTTTTATGTAGTACTGGAGATGGAACCCAGGGCTTCATGCATGTTTGTCAAGTATTCTAGCCCTGGCAATACTTTTGAGGGCTAGGAAAATTATTACCCACAATGTGCCATTCCTTAATGCAAATTTTCATTCAATCTCTCAGTGGCTATGTGCAGAGACAAACTTTGGACTCAGAAAGGTTAAGAAACATGCTCTCCATCATGTACAGGTGTAGTTGCAAAGTTAACATGGGCCTTCCCAGACTTCAGGGCTCCAAGGATACACAGACTGTCTAGAGTCCCCCAGGTTACAACCTCAGTCAAGACTGGCCCTGGTCCACCCCCAGAACCAGCACTCTAGCCATGGGGGCTCACTGCTCAGAGAAGAAAAAAACTAGAAGGACTGAGGCACAGTGGCACATGCTTGTGATCGGAGCCTTTGGGACATAAGCACAAGGGGATTAGAAGTTTAAGGCCAGCCTCCGCTACATAGTGAATTAGAGGCCAGCCTGGGCTACAAGAGACTCATTCTCAAAAAAAAAATGTGAAGCTGGGCATGGTGGGACATGCCTTTAATCCCAGCAGGTAGGATCTCTATGAGATTGAGGCCAGCCTGGTCTATATAGCCAGATGGGGCTACAGGGAGGCCCTGTCTCAAAGAGACCAGAAAAAAAAGAAAAGAAAGAGAAAGAGACAGAGAGAGACAAGGCACAGAGAACAGGAGAGACAGAAAGGAAAAGAAACAGTGGGCTGGAGAGATGCCTTGGTGGTTAAGAGCACTGGCTACTTTGCAAAGATTCATTTCCCAGCACCCATATGGTAGTTAACAACCATCCATAACTCCAGTTCCAGGGGATCTGACACCCTCTTCTGGCCTCCATGAGCACTGCACAGCATGGGCACACATACATCCATGCAGGTAAAACACTCATAACACATAAAATAAAAACAAATCAATCAAAAAAAAAATTTAAAGAAAGAGACAGAGAGAATACTTGAGAGTGCAGGACACCTACAGCTCTTTTGAGTCACCCAGGAAACCCCAGTAGGGAGAGTCCACTCCACTGGTCCTGCTTAATTCGGCCCTGTGTGGTGTAGGAAAGGAACATGGAACAAAAGGATTCCCCTAGTATTTGCCTGTGACCTCTGGCCTCAGTTCTCTTATCAATCAAATGGGACGATTACTCCCCATGCCCTGGCCTGAAAGGCTGTTAGAAGAGTGAACATGTCCATCATGGCATCAAGAGCCCCTCTTGGGCAATCTCTGCCCCCTATACACATCCCTTCCCACAATTCCTTAGAAAATGTCCCCATACCTGGTGCCTGCCACTGCCCCATCATTCTTTCCAAGGGGTTCATCCAGTTCCACACCACACCACTCGCCTTTGGCAAAGTCTGTCTCCCCCACGTAGCGTACCACACCGGTCTTCGTCCCACCGACCTGTAGGTACATGGAGAGAGGCAGATCCAGAGGACGCAGGGGACACAGGTTGAGCCTGGCAGGGGGCAGATGAGAAAAGGGAGACACCCACAGACAGCTGGGAGGGCCAAGGCTTTCAGTGCATCACAGGATGGATACATGCAAGAGCACAGGCTTGGAGAGAGACACGGATCTGGATTCAAACTCTTATAAGCTCTGTGAGCTTGGGAAAATCACATAACCTCTCTCAATCTTAGCATCCTCATCTGTCAAAAGGGTTTTTGTGAGAATTATTGTATGTATGTGGCATCTGGATGACATTGTAGTCTTAGTAAATGCTATTGGTAAAGAGAATGTAGGGTATGGTGGTGCATGCCTTTAATGTCAGCACTCTGGAGGCAGAGGCAGGCCAGCCTGATCTACATGGGGAATTCCAGGCCAGCTGGGGCTACAGGGAGACCATTTCTCAAAAAAAAAAAAAAAAGTGACACTGAAGCACAGAAGTCCTAGGGAGATGGTTCAGTAGTAGGGTCCCTACCTAGCATCCCCCAGTGACAGGCAGAGAGTGTGGATCAGCCCTGTGAGCATCATGATTAAAGGCATGTGCCACCATGCCCATCAATAAAAAGTATTCTTAAGGGGTTAGAGAGGTTGTTCAGCAGTTAAGAGCACTGGCTCCTCTTTAGACAACCCAGGTTCAAGTCCCAGCACTTATATTACAGCTCACAGCCCTTCTTAACTCCAGTTCCAGGAGATCTGATGTGCTCTTCTGGCTTCTTTGGGCATTGCCTGACACAGATGCACTCACATACATGGAGGCAAAAGACTCACACACATAAAATAAAAATAAATAAGCTCACCGCCGAATTTTTTTTCAAAGATTTAAAGAAAGCTCGGCATGGTGGCTCATGCCTTTAACTCCAGCACTTGGGAGGCAGAGGCAGACAGATCTCTGTGAGATCTAGGCCAGCCTGATCAACATAGCAAGTTCCAGTTCAGCTGGGGCTATGGGGAGACACTGTCTCAAAAAAACAAAACAAAACAAAACAAAAAAACAAACCCAAAACCCAACAACAACAACAAACCAAAAAACAGAAGAAAAAGTGAATTATTGTAAAAAACAAGTTAAATTGATTTTTCAAATCCAAGTTATACATACACATCAATAGAGGGTCAGGTGCTTGTAAAGCGTCTGTTCTAGTTTCATTCTGTTGCTATGATAAAACACCCTGACCAAAAGCAACTGAGGGAGGAAAGGGATTCATTTGGCTCAGACTTCCAGTGACAGTTTATTATTCTAAGAAAGTCAAAGCAGGAACTTTACGCATATCCATAGTCAAGAGCAGTGGGAGAATAAACTGGAACCTGCTTGCTTGCTCTTAGCTAGCTTTCTTATGCAGCCCTGAACTCCCTGCCTAGGGACTGGTGCTGCCCACAGTGGGCTGGGCCCAACAATTATCAATTAACAATCAAGACACTCCCCACAGACCTGCCCACAGGCCAATCTGGTCTGGGAAATCCCTCAGTTGAGACTCCCTTCTCAGGTGACTCTAGGTTATATTAAGTTGACAGTTAAAACTAACCAGCCCTTTACAAAGCCAAGAAGTTTTTCTTCTCTGCCTCCAAACACATACTACTTCCTCTTTCAGTGGGACCATTTGGTAATCACTGCCATCTCTCTAAATAGCAGGGGTCTGCTCCGACTTCTTTTCAAACATTTTGGCATATTTTTAACTGACACGTAAGATTGGTACCTACTGCTGCAGCCCTTTTCTTTTTAACTGACACACAGCTGTATTTACTGATGGGAAACTGTGCTATTGTGCATACAGTGTATATATGTCTACAATGTGCACTGATCAAATCAGGGGAACAAGCATTTCTGTTTCATCTTTTATTGTTGTTAGTGTTAAATGGAGAACCTTTGACGTCTCCTGTTGTGGATCATTACAAAATATATAAGGGGCTGTGGCTCAGTTGGTAGAATGCTTGCCTAGTGTGCCTAGTGTGTTCCATTCCCAGTACTGCAGAATCTGGGTATGGAGGAGCATACCTGTAATCCCAGCACTCAGAACCTGGAGGCAGGAGAAACAGAAGTTCAAGAACATCCTCAACTACACAGCATATTTGAGAGTAACCTGGGCTATGTCTGTCTGTCTATCTATCTATCTATCTATCTATCTATCTATCTATCTATCTATCTATCTATATTAGACATCTATCTATCTATCTATCTATCTATCTATCTATCTATCTATCTATCTATATTAGACTATGTTGATCCTACTCTGCCATGGAATAGTAGACGTTTTCCTCCTATTATTTTCACTTGACCTTATGACCTCCAGTTCTATTTATTTTACTGCAAATAACAAGGTTCCATTCTTTTTTTTGAAGTATAAGTGTTTTTCCTGCATGTGTGTAAGTGGACCCAGGCATGCAATGCTCATGGAGGCCCCTGGAACTGGAGTTAAGGACAGTTGTTAGCCACCACGTGGGTTCTAGAAATCAAACCAAGATCCTTTGGAAGAGCAGCTAGTGCTCTTAACCACTGAGGAATCTCTCCAGTCCCAAGTTCCATTCTTTATGTGTGTATACATGTATGTATGTGTATTTTTTTTTCTTTTTGGTCTTTTTGAGACAGGGTCTCTCTGTAGCCCCAGCTGTCCTGGAACTTACTATGTAGACCAGGCTGGCCTTGAACTCACAGAGATCCGCCTGCCTCTGCCTCCTGAGTGCTGGGACTAAAGGTGTGTGCCACCATGCCTGACTGTATGTGTATATTAATTTAAAATTGTTTTTATTTTTATTTTATGTGTATGAGTGTTTTGCCTGAGTGTATGTAAGTGCCCCCTCATTATGCAATGTCCACAGACAAGTGTCTGATCCCCTGGAACTGGAGTTATGGACAGATGTTAGCCACTATGTGAGTGCTGGGAACCAAACCTAGGCTTTCTGAAAGAGCAGTCCTTTGGGCCATCTCTCCACCCCTCTACACATAATTTTTTTTGTGTGTATACATATATATACCTACACACACACCTTTGTGTGTGTGTGTGTGTGTGTGTGTGTGTGTACACACATGTGTATGTATGGGCAGAGGTCAATGTCAGGTGTCTTCCTCAATCACTCTCCATCTTAAGTCCCTCACAGGCCCTGGAGCTCAGCTAGGCTGACTGGTCAACAAGCCCCAGGGATCCTCCTGTCTCTGCCCCTAGCACTGGGATTGCAAGAATAGAATAGCAAGGGCTGCGTGTTTCACCTGGGTTCTGGGGACCAGACTCAGATCCTCATGCTTGCACAATAAGCACTTTACCCACTGAGTTATTCCCCCCAGCCCTTTGCTTTTTTTTTAGACTGGGTCCTCTTGTGCAGCCCAGGTTGGTCTACAACTCACTCTGTAGCCCAAGATAGCCTCAATCTCATCATCCTCCAGTGTCTCCCTCCAGCATGCTGGGATTACAGGCATACTTAGTCTTATAACACGTCTGGGCATTTTCTTATTTCAGTAATTACATTTTTCATTTCCCCAGAGCCTTTTGCCCTGATGAATATTCATAAGCACATGAATATTCATGAACATGTGACTAGCCACAGCCACATGAATATTCATGTTCCTATATTCTGAGGCAGCCTGAAGAGTCTTCTCTTATTTCTCAGCTGACCAGCCATCTTCATTCCTCACAGAAGGTTCCAGATGCCTCTGCCTTAGAGGCAGCCATATCAGCTACCAGCATTCATAGAGCTGAGAGGGGAAGAAGCTGGAGGGAGGCAGGGCCTCAGCCCTGAGGGCAGAGTGCTCACCTCATCCTCCAGTCTCAGCCTAGGGATGACTTAGAACTCTCGATCCTCCCACATCCATCTCCTGAGTTTATGATGTAATGGGAATAGAACCCAAGGCCTTGTGCATTCAAGCAAGCATTCACCAACAGCTACAGCCCCTGTCCAAAATTCCCATTTTATAGACATGGTGGCACACATCTTTAATCCCAGCAGTTGGGAGGTAGAGATAGGCAGAAGGATTGTAAAATTGAGGTCAGCCTGGTCTACACAGTGAGTTCCAGGCCAGCTGGGGTGATAAGAAGACCCTGTCTGAAAAAAGCCAAGAACCAAAATCCAAACCAAAACAACAAAGAAAAGGAGCTGGTGAGATGGCTCAGCGGTTAAGAGCACTGGCTGCTCTTGCAGAGTACTTAGGCTCAGCTCCCAGCATTCGCATGGTGGCTAACAACCATCTGTCACTCCAGTTCTAGGGGATCTGAAATCCGCTTCTGGCCTCCATGGGCATTCCACCCACATGTTACATTTACATCCATGCAGCCAAAACACTTACACATATATATAAAAATAAATAAATCTTAGCCAGGTGTGGTGGCACACACCTTTAATCTCAGCACTCAAGAGGCAGAGGCAGGCAGATCTCTTTGAGTTCAAGGCCAGCCTGGTCTACATAGTGAGATCCACG